TTTTTCTGGAAAAAAAATACATGAAATGTCGGAATGTTGTTTCATTGAAAATTTTTACCTCACAAAGCGAAACTTTAACACTACCCTCAACAGCTAAAGCATTCACATAGTCACTTGCAAGAATACATAACTGCATCTGGTGGCTATAAATTTCCACTCCTAGCCCCCTAATGGGCTGCTAAATTTTTGCTCAAAATCGAACGAAAGTGTTTCAAGATTCTTGTTTGAGTTTCAGTAATCATCACGATTTCCAAGAGAACTCGAAGGCTGTTATCTTCTGAAACAACCTGACTATTCGCCATATGTACATATCTTTTTCCTTTTGAAAGTACACCATAAAGAAGAGAAACGGGATTTTGCCAGGCTCAGCTTGCACGTAATGCATTGGATTGCCGGTACCATCCATTTTGCATACTTCGAGCCTTTCGGAGGTGACACTGAACTCGTCCAAGGAAGTACCAGACCAACCACGACTCACCGTCAGTCTACAGTCCCAGGACAACACGTAGTGGATGTATTCACAGCTGCAATTATAAACGATTTATACGCTTCTGTGCAAATCCTCCCAGCAAAAATTTTTTTTTTTTTTTTTTCCCAGAATAATACTATTCTAACAATTCCAATTTTTTCTTTCCAGAAATTTCAACTACTGCACAATGGGCTTTTGAAACACCGTTTTTCACATCCGCAAAAAGCAGATAAGTAACCCAGGATTGACGGACTTGGCAAAACTGAGTCTGTTGTATAGGTTCACCTCAGTAACATTACCAACATCCGACGCTCGCACCATTTGTCAGATGGCTATACTTGGTGTTTTTCGCTTTCAGTAAAAATTTTAGAGCCGCAAACTGTTTTTTTCATCTGCTTCGAGACAATATCTGACATTTAATAAACTTTCAAGTTCTGTCTGGTTTTTCGTTCACACGTTCTCCGTATCCCCCATGAGCAAAGATCCTTTTTTGTTGCAAATTGTAATTTATCGGCTAAACGACCCCAACTGATTTTTATGACTTTCTTTCAAGTTCCTGGGATTCTATGACTCAGTGAGCTCCCTGACTTTCAGAAGTTACGCAGTTTTCCGGCAAAAAACGAATTAATCGATTTGAGTGAAATAAATTATTCAGCACTTATTTGTGCAAAGTAAATTGATTGTACCCATCGAGTTGAGGCAAATTACGCATTGAACATTCAGCACCAGTGACAATATTTATCGAGCATGCAACACAGACGACCACTCCGACAATCCGCATTACAACTCATTTAATTTTGACAGTGATGATGGCTGCTTTTATATCGGAATATGGATAAATTTCCTGGTAGAAAGTATTCATTTCGCCTTGAAAGGCACCATTTCTTCTTGGCTTTTTGAAAAAATTCTCTCGATTTTTATGCTTTTTTGCATGTATGCAAATTGCAAAAACGCATACTGGCAAGAGAATGTGTGTGTGTGTGTGTGTGTGTGTGTGTGTGTATGTCCTCGCGTTCGCACTTTTTGTCACCCACTTTCAACTCGAGAACCAGAAAATCTGGAAGTTTTGAATTTCGGTAGCGTGTATCCACACTATGTGCAATCATCCCGTTTCAATATCATCGCCCGCTAAGCTTGGATGCTGCGTACGGACGCCTTAAATAATACATAAATTTTTTGGCGGAAAAGCGATCTCGCAAATCAAAAAGAATAGAGAGCTAAAAGTTTGCAGGGATATCCTCTGTGCATGTGTGAGCTAAAGATTTCAAATCCAGCTTCTAGCCGTGCATGATTCTTACGGACGGCACGTGGAAGTTTTGTTTGGAAAATTGATAACTCGGCAACCAGAAAACTGGAAGTTTGGAATTTTAAAGGTATATTTCCCGTCCAGGTACAGATTACAAATTTCAAATTCAGCCCCCCAGATACGCATGGTACTTATGCGCGGGCAGATAAAATTTTTGGCGGAAAAATTACTGACTCGGGAAGCAGAAAGGCAACTTGAATATTTTAAATCTTAGGGGAATGTTCCCTGTCCATGTACAACTTAAATATTTCAAATTCGGCCTTCAGGTGTTTGTGTGGCTCTCATGTACGGCCACTTAAATATTTTGGCGAGAAAATCGCTCACTGAACAGTTAGATCATTTTCAAAGAAAGACCGTTAAACGAAAATTGTTCATTTTCTTTACGAAAAATTCACGATTTATATAAAAAGCAGGTTTAAAGCAACAACCATTCATGCAGTTAACGGCCTGCGTACTTCAAGTCTGGTGCAAAAACGAATGACCCCAGCAGCAAACCTATCGTATTCCAGTCTGTGTATAAAGTTATTTCACTGAATCAACTTCTACTCCTATACGCTTGTTCATTTAGGCAAAAGGATAAAAAAGGGCTATGGCAAGATCAAGTCTTGGCGTGTATGTGTATGCGTAGGTAATTGTGTTCGAATTCAGCTCCGGAGCTGCAAAAGCAAAGAATGGTCCGATTTAGAAAATTGCTTGATCGTTTTAGAAAAACCGCGAAACCATAAACATGAAGCCACTTTGCACTTGTGTCCTAACTGCTAGCGTCAGGTCCACCTTCGAGATAATTTTATAATTCATGAATCAGAGGTCAGGCAGTGCGAGGTAACGAACAGACATCAGGTCCAAATCTTAGGCTGTGGCCTGAGTAGTATGCAAGTGGGCCTATTTTGCGATTTCAAAAGGTAGTGAGTAAGGTTTCGTCAAAAAGGCATTGAAAGTATTTTATCAAAAACTTAAATTAAAATTGGTACATAAATGTCAGAAACAGTATTAAAACTGCGAACTCTTTCAGTTCTCCAGCTCCCTTCAAGACACAGCTTGCAGCTTCATAAGCAAAGAACATCCGGTCGGATGAAATGAAGAAAAATGAGACAAATTACTTAAGAATTAAAATGGAATTTCAACTAATTCGTGGAAGCTTAAAATATAGCCCGAAACAGCGCTCTTTCCTGAATTCTTTTTCTTTTTTATGCGTTTTTGCCGTGCAGCGCTAGAGCGCTGCAACAGGCAGCAAAAACGCATA